GAGAGAAATGTTTAGGAAGAGACATTGGACATTATAAAATATGCAATTACCAGGTATGTTAAATGTGTACAGCATTGTGCATTGTAATAATCCGCGGCAGGGTGAACGAATGCGTCTGTCATAAGAGAATCACTTGACTTCCAATAACTACCAGGCAGATACTGAATGGCTGCATTAAACTAAAATCACCACTGCCCTTGCTCGCACTGCTATATAACTGAAATATCTTTTATTGAATATAAGAGTGTATTTTTTAACGGCAGATTGTTTTATAACTTTGATAAATGCAAACTACCTTTTCCTAGTGGCCTTCTATTCCTATTTGGAATCTCTCTCTTCTTTATTTGTACTCTAAAGTTCACTTGTAAACTCCGTGAATTTTGTTTCAGATCAAATGCCCTCTGCCCTCTTACCGGGACTTGCAATGTAAGAACATAGACCCTGGAAAGATTTCCTACGCTTATGGAGGTATCAGTTAAGTTGAAGATATACTTAAAAGAGAAACAATAAAACCCCAGAACAACAACAACAACAACATTTTAAACATGCAGTACCCCTGTTAAATTACATGAATAAAATATTTTAGTCCTGGCATGCTGAAAGGAATGAAAAGTATCATGGTTCGACGATGCGACTTTTATTGAAAAATCTGAATTTCTAGTAAAACCCTTCAAGATAGTGTTCATCCATGTCAAATGCTCAACCTCCACGCTCTTTAACGCACAATCTGATAATATTCATATCACATTAGCCAACCGAGGCCTTTATCTTTCCAAACGGCTATATTGCGATGGGCAAAAACCTACGAAAGCCTGCAACTACCATTTACTGAAATGGAAGTCTTATATCTTTGTATTATTATAGATAAATGTCATCTTGCCTGCATACAGCATAGTACCATAACTTATCCACACGGGCGAGTTGCTGATGGAACTCGATGTACCGCTGACCCTGATGACTTTGATGTCTGCATCGAAGGAAAATGTCGGGTACAATTAAACATCTTTAAATGTAAAAATAGACTTTTGCTACCTGTGACAAAGATGAAGGAGGTATAAACAGAGGAAATGATTTCGCAGCTTGGAACGTTTTTTGAGCATGTTGGATTTTCAGAACGAAGCGAGCGCTTCCTCTCTTCCAAAAATGAATGAAAAGACCTTCAACCGTTTTAAGCTAGCTTCTACAAAAGTTTATCTGGTTGAGTGGGACCCTATACTAAAAATGTGTTGAATGAAAATCAAACTAACTAAAAATTTAGCATCAGTTCCGTTGTCACAGTAGTCACGGTGTGTGTATCTTTTTTTTTTTTCACCGATAAGGCCGTAGGCTGCGATCACGGATTTGAGTCAGGAACGAGAAAGGATCGCTGTGCGGTATGCGGGGGAAATGGGGAAACTTGTAAATTTGAAAAATCATCTTACACCAAAGACCACAGAAGCTACGGTAAGTTCACCGCATAACAAGTAATTAAAAAATACAGTGGTACATGTACACTTTAAAGCAAACTAAAAATTAACCGTGAGCGTGGAGCACAATTGATATTTGATATGGACCAAATTTTGTATTGTCATTCTTCTCATACAGGTTTTGGAAATGCAGATACTGTAGTGATTCTTCCTGTTGGAACAGTGAATGCAACGATCAAGAAGAGAGGAGTTAACTTAAATTTCTTGGGTAGGTAGTTCGAAACTTACGTTGGACATTTTTGGCTCGTCTTTTTCAAATAACCGTGGTATTCTTCCATCATATACGGCGAGATTTTTTCTCTTAATAGGCATTAAGGATCATTTGACAGGTCAATACATCATTCATCTTCCTACCTATAGTCGCACGGTCTATTACAATGGAACGAAGATTGCTTACATTCGTAATGGATATGAATATGCAGATTCCCTTGAAATTGACGGGCCGACAAATATCCCCCTGAGAGTAGTGGTAAGTTCAAAAAATGTCACTTCATACTGAAACATACGACGGTATACAAGAACGAATAACATGCGGAATTAAAGAGTATCAACTAATCTAGAGATACCAAAGAGGGGAGAATTTCTGCCAAATTTTGTGATATTTTCCAATAGGCCAGTTTCAATGATTAAAATTCATTCACGTACAATTTTTTAAAGAGCCTTTTTTAGGCTCACTTAAGTCTCGTGTTTAACTGAAGATTTATTGATTGACTGATTGATTGATATATGGATTGATTGATTGATTGATTAATTGTTGATTGATTGATTGACTGATTGATTGATTGATTGATTGATTGATTAATTGATACTTAACTCAGAGGCTGAGGTAAATAAAGCAAACGAAATTGCATTGAGATCAAGAGGTTAATAATTCATTTCTTTTGCCTTATTACTCTCAGACTCGGAGCCAAGTTTGAATTTTGATAATTCGAAAACGGCACAGTGTGCTGCCTGTTTTTTATTTCATCTATGCATCAATGGTGAAAAGATGTTCTGTTTTCTTGTGTCTTTTAGTTTGCTTATATACGAGGAAAACCTCAAGGAGTGGACTATCAGTTCTACAGGCCATTACTGTCAAATGAATCTGCTGCCCCTGTTTCGTTTAAATGGATCACTGGAGCCTGGACTGCCTGCTCTGGGAAATGCGGCAAAGGTAATGTAAAAATATATATTATCTATTTAAGATATTTTTCATCAAGTATTCAATTTTTTTCATTAAAAAATGATAATGGGCTTCAAGTAAAACAACAAGTAAAAGATGGTCGGCTATCTTTTGTTCCATCGGCCCGAGGCAAAGCCTCCCATACAGCCGATTTTTTCAGGGGAGAGGAAGGAAATACGACTCTCCTAAATACGCCTGCCTTAGAGGCTAGCCCGTTGCGGGCCACGTGGACATGTTAAAGAGGGTGTACCGAAAGAGATAAGGATAAAGAGAAATGAAATCTTAGCACACACACCATAATTCCAATAGCAGGGGCGTAGCAAGCTTTTCGACCAGTTGAAGACCTACCTGACTTTCATTTACACATATCCTGAAAATTGCACGCATGACTAGTACATACTGACCTCACCAACACTTTGAGCTCTTAAGCTTTCTAATTCTTTCCAGCTCACCCCAGCAACGCATAATTTATTACAAGCGGTAGAGTGATCAAACCAAAAATTTGTAGGCCCGGGCCTACAGGTCTAAGGGCTGGCTACGCCCCTTAATGGGGAGGGGAGAGCAGCACAGACTTAAGTGTAACTTTGCTTAAGCGCTTAAGGGTCAGAAAAGTGATGGGATTGCAAGTACGTAAAAGCATCAAGCGGTATATACTTAGGTTCATTGAGGTAGATATGTATATAATCAATTAAGTTAAATTGTTGTTTTTTTACTTAGGAATCTCTACAAGAGAAGTGCACTGTGTCCGTTCTGATGACGAGACTTCTGCTTCAGTTGACTCTTGCTCAAAACAGACTAAACCTGAATCGCAAAAAAATTGCAATCTTTCTACCACCTGCGCTCCTGAGTAAGTTTTCGCTCAAGTTACTTTCTTAAACGGTTTATAAAGGAAAAGGTCAATGTAAAGGCCTTTCACTGTCTTTTGGGCAACATGTGGTCCTCGTAACGTTGATTTACTTGGCTATAACTAAGTGCTTTTAATGATGCAATTAAATATTCTTTATCTTATATGCCTACATATATTTTATTTGCAATGATGTTACAAAAGGGAGGAACAGGGAACAGGGAACAGGTTAGGGGGGAACGGGGAACGGGGAACTTAATCCCTTACAAGCGCTATCGCTAACTCCCCACACCTATTCTCTGTTTGTTTCCACGTCATTTTTTCCCGTCCCCCTCTCCTCGTTGTAGTAACCGTCCTATACACGCAAGGTAAAATTTCTACTGAGTGAAAAACAAACCATCTTAGTAGACTTAGTTATTGGCAATATGACGTTTTTTCCCTTCTGATCAACTTTAGGTGGCACCTAACTCCATGGAACGAATGTTCCAGAACTTGTGGAAAAGGCGACCATTTTCGTGTTCTTTACTGTCGAAAGCAAATCAATGAAACTTACTTTCAAAAAGTGGATGACAAAGCTTGTTATTCGAGCACTAAGCCAAACGTAACATTGTTTCAACAATGTAATGAAGTGATGTGCCCACCTGAATGGAGACCTCTCCCTTGGTCTGAGGTAACATTTTAAACCACAAAACCATTGCTTTATAATAATGGTCTTTTAAAGCTTTATTTCAAGTGTATATGACAGGATATTTTTTTTGTCGTTTTTAATTTCTAAATATGTGTAAAATATGTGTCCAAAATCAAAACTTAACAAATTTTATGCATAACCTTTTTTCGTCTTCAAAACACGCAAATTTCCCTTCAAAAGTCTCCGCCCTATCGCGCGCTAACTTGACAAGTATGACGTAGAGTGATTTGCAAGAGGGTAGAATAATAAACAAGATGACGGCTACTACAAAGGATTGTCTTTGTCGACAATTCCCCAGTCATTTTCAGAATCTTTATTTGCTTCGCTATACCTTTCGTTAATACAACCAGCAATGACTAGAATCGGAGGTGGAGGCTGAGCAAATCAACTGACGTCACATAGCGTCATCAGTCTTTCTTTGATCCTTTACTCGTTTCCAGTCTCTGGGATGTTTCTCAATGAGAAAAAACAGCTTTTTGGAAGGCCAAAATTCAAGAAATGTTTTGGAGACAAGTTTTCAAAATTTAAAATTGTTGATTAAACTTATCTAAGGACCAAAATCAGTTTTTAAAAAAAGTTCATGTCACAAACATAGCGAATGTCCTTCCACAGGAGCCCTGTTACATTTCACCATGACATTTCTATCATTGGTTATACTGGTTCCCCGTCCTTTGTAAAAGTGGGGTGTGGTGCTTCCAAGTTTTCATATTTTTATTGATCGATATGTGTTGTAAGCAAAAGGAAATGAAGCATGTTTATGTCCAGTGGTGGTACTTTTTGTATGGTTTGCATCTTTTAAAATATCAAAGTCTACTTCTCAGCTAGGTCAGTTTGGCAGTCTGTCTTATAACACATCAATAACAATCACCCAGAAGCACAGAATTTCCCATTTTCTATCATACCTGACTTTATTTCGCTTTTAGTGTTCAGCGACGTGCGGCGGTGGTGTAATGACGCGAAAGTTAGAATGCATCAGGATGAACGAAGTGGGGCACGTTATAAGAGCTGGGCACTCATTTTGTCGATATGCTGCCAAACCTCTTACAGCAACCGTCTGCAACGAAGACAAGCACTGTGATCGTAAGTGGAGCCCAAATACACACTATTAACCTTTTTTACGGCAGCTATTTTAATCGTCGGCACGGAGCATTTTTATTCCAGCAAGGGGAATCCAAGACAGTCTTGGATTCTGGATTCCACGCCGTGGATTCTGGATTCAAGGTACTGGTTTCTGGATTCTCTGTCAGTGGATCTTGGATTCCGGATTTCAATCATTCCTGATTTTTTTAACTGTATTCCGGATTCCCTCACGTGAGGCGTTATGAGGGCATAGAAAAGAACCTTTTGTCAAGTGCCAAAGAACGCAAGCCATCGCGTACGCAAACGAAAGAAAAAAATTGTCCTCTTGCTTGCGATCATAGTAAGGTCTACTTTACTTTTCTCACAGTTTTCTCAAAGAATTCTTTCAGCGTTTTACTCTACCATATAGTAAAGTTAGATTTTTCTTGATCTTATTAATTTTGATTTTCTTCTGTTTTTATATTGCAACTGAACGATTCTTTGTTATAATTATAGTTTTGTGTTTGAAACTAATGTCGCCTAATTTAGTCTCCGTCCCATAAACAACACAGACAAACCAAGGTCTGACTGATCTTTTCTTACTCAGCTCCACCTGAAGTTCAAGTGGCATGTTTTATCGGTGCTGATAATATCAAAGAAGTACTTGGAGATTTTACTAAACAGATCAACTGGGACGACACAAATGAAGTGGTAAAAAAATGTGCTAAGCTGGCTCACAATAAAGGTTACACGCTTTTTGCGCTGGGCAGCAATGGCCTGTGTTTATCAGAGGCCAACATGAAACAGAAATACCATGTAAGTGGTTCTGAAGGAGCGAAGTGCAAAGACGGGATTGGAATGTGGAACAGCATGTTCGTCTATTCCTTAGGTAAAGTGGCCTTGGCCGGCTCCCACGCAGTGTTCCTTACTAAGGCTTAAATGTCACGCGTCCCCTCCCAGGGCTTCCTTCGTGGGGAAACAACGCGTGACTAAGCCCTAACAACGTATACGCATGCGTGGGAGACTATATGTGAATACTACTTTTTTATATTTTAAACAAAGATCACTGAATATTCGAACCTACTCGTTATTAACATCTGTCTATTACAGACAGCCTCGTGTGTCGTGGAAACCAAACCTGACACGTTAATCCGACTAACTGCTCTGCAAAGCGGACAACTGGTCTCCTAAGCTAAGGAGAATTGATTCGATTCAAGATTCTGAAAATTTTTAAGCGAGTCGCGTTCATTATATGAAACGGTTCAAATTCCTAATATAATAAGAGCGAACGTATATCGCAGAACCTCGCGTGGCTGGAAGGCTGACCCATCAATTGCTTGGGGTGTTAGACGGAGAAATAGAGTGTGTAGTGACTTAGGGGGTGGGTTTCAGCAATAGTTTTGAAATTGAAAGTTATTAACAATTATTCCTCGAGCCCAAATGGGCTCTGAGTCAATAGCCCATGAGGCCCGAGGCCGAATGGGCTATTGACTCAGAGGCCATGAGGGCGAGAGGAATAATTGTTTTAGTAAAATCCAGCTAGTTGGTCAAAAATATCGAGACAAAACAACTTTACCTAGCAAAACGCGATTCAGCCGCCATTGCTTTGGTTTTCAAAGCCGGCGCTTTTCGCTACTAGTGAGCTATAACATATAGCCTAGTAGTAGCTCAACCAATCAGAACGCAGCATTGATAATAGACCACTAGTTGGATTTTACTAAAGACGTATATTCAATAAACTGTTGGTTGGACCGAACTAGTACTCAGTGCCCTATCTTTTAAAAATGAAGGAATGATAATTGAAACTGGCGAGTATTCGCTTTTCAAGGTAATATATGCTTGTTGCAAAGGAGTTTGTTATTATATAAATTTACCAAAAATAAATGCATATTAATTATATTTTGTAGAGCCCCTGCCTGATATCCAACCAGTTGGTTGTTTTCACGACAGTATCGATCGAGCCTTGCCCGATAACTATGCTAATTTTCGAGCTCAGATCATCTGGACGAATATGAAGCTGACAGTGTATCAGTGTGCACGAGTGGCCCACGACAAAGGCTATAAATACTTCGGTGTTCAGTTCTACGGAGTTTGCTACGGTGGAAAGGATGGTGAAAAAAGTTTTGCAAAATACGGCAAGAGTACGAATTGTTGGGAGTTTGACAAACAGAACGGATTTAGTGTTGGCAAGGACTGGCTCAACTTTGTCTATCGACGACGGATTGAGTAGCATTGCAAGTATTTTAGCATGTTGTTTAGTTACTCGGAATAGTTTTGATAATTCTATAAAAATTCATAATAATAAAAGGATTAAAACAAACTGCATGGTATCACCTAAAATTTTATAATTAACACTCACTCCATTTCTTCATTTTTTATGCTACATTTCGTACTAATATGACCGTTACCAAATTCATCGTGCTCTTACGACAGTCTTATTGTATGACTTACTTTTTGTTTATATTATTCATTTTCAGTAGATTCCACAGGATTCAAAGAAAAGCAGCTGTCTCCGTACAAACGTTTCACCTGCCATGTGGCTTACGAAATCATATCTCGAAGTTTCCGCGAAGTCATTATTGCAATGAGAAGGAATCATGTAATAATACCTCACAATAAAGGTGTTTGAAACCGGAAAGGCGAGCGAAGTGTTCCTTAACTTTACCAAACTAAATACCTGTTATGTGTCATCAAACTAACTCAAGTTCCTTTCAGACATCAAATACTAATTTAAAAAGCTTCAACAATTATTAAAGGTCTTAAGTGCTAAAAAAGGTTTTTGGTTTACTCAAGCGGGGCTTCTTGTACGACGATTAATACTCGAACAGTTCTTACCATTCTATAAAAAGTCATTCTCCGATCATTATATCAATAATATTCATGAAAAATAACTTTAAAAACGATGCTGTAAGGGAGGTTTGAAGCTCATTCCTAAAAATAATAACTATTGCAAACTTCTGTTTAATTTATTCAACACTTAGCCATCTTTTTGGAAAATGAACATCCATGGGGATCACAAAAACCTAGTCTAGCTTGCATGATTCTCGTTCTATTTTCAAGCTTGGACTGCGATTCCCACCTTTGACATCAATTGTTCAAAAATATCTGGACCCTTTCCATTAGATAAACCAGGTAAAAAGAAAGACACGGGAACACTCTAGACCATACTGTTCTACACTAATCCAACATTTACCAAGAGATTGGGTATCAGGGACTATAAACCTTTGGGGTGTCTCAGGACCTATAAGTTCTACATAAAGGACCCAAGTGGACCGCAAAGACAAAAAAAAAAAAGAAAATTCCTTCAGCTTCATAGATGAATATAGATACATTTCTGTATGGCTTTTTTTCCCAAGCCTGAGAACCAACTATGAGTTTTTTATCTCATCGAAAGCGGTCTAACAGTAAGCAAGTAAAATGTTTTGATGAGCATGTCAAGTAGTTATGAGAGCTAGCCAATATAACACATTGCAGCAAGATTTCTGTCAAAAATTGATATAATTAATTTTGGATGCAGTATTATAAACCAACAGCTGTTGTAGAATTGCTGACCTTATTTTACGCCGATAACCAGGCGACGCACTAGGAGTCTAGTTGAGAATACAAACTCGATCGATATACCAGCTTACCGAGCCGCGTATTAGGCCCGTTTCGAACGTCGTGCTACTGCAAGCCTTGCCGTGCTACACGGCAGTAGCTCGACTTGGTTTCAAATGTCGTGTTACCGCCGTGCCGAACCCAATTCATGAATTATAAATACATCAGAATATATTTAAAAGTTTGCTAAACCGTTTCTTTCTTTTTTGTGTTTTGTTTTTGGCAACAGCCGTTCCATTCGACTGTCATTGTGTGAATTAAATTCGACGTCTGAAACCAAGTTGTGCTAATGTGGTGCTGCAGTCGAGCTACAGTCCAGCCAGCTTAGCACGGCAGTAGCACGACGTTTGAAACAGGCCTTATTCCTTTGAGCTAAATTTATGCAGACCCTTCCCATTGTTCAAAGCGGGTGACAATTTTCAAAAAAAGGAGGAGCAGGTGATAATTTCAACAGGGGTCCGTTTACATTTTATAAATTATCTGCTGTTCCACACTTAAAGTGTATGACCACAAAAATACGTTGCTGGTTCTAAAGCAAGGAAAGGTGCTTCGCTCCTTCACCATGACCGAGCGCGTAATTCTTCCCAGATCAGGCACTAGTAATGCTTTACATATCTTTAAGACTGACTTATCAAGAAAGCTTCGAACACTAATTAAATGCACAAGTCAATTTTTTTAAAACCGGTACTAAATTTTGAGAATCACTCATCCATTTATTTGATGCTGGAAATGTGGAAATGAATAATGAATAAAACTATCAATTTTTTTTGTAGGTAAATTCCCTAGGCTAATTCTTTCAATATTGTAAATTCAAGAATCGGGTTAAATTATTCTTGGAAAACGTCAAAGGAAGCTGTGGTCAGTACTTATTTGTATTTGTGCAACTTAATGTGCTGAGCTTAGGAAAAACAAGTTATTAAAAATTCATGCAATTCTTGTCTAACATTTTTAAAACGGGTTTCAAACTTTTCGGTCTTTGCCCATTTTCAAAAGGAGACTAAGTATCTAAGAACAGGAACTGGCAACAATATTTATGTTGATGAAAATGGCGCGGTGAATGCTCTGTCAATTTTAGAGAGTGTAACTTATTCCTGAATGTCTTATGCTATTTCCTCTATCAATTAAAACGAGTTTTTATATTATTATTATCATTTAAAAAATAAATCGTCATTACCACTTAATCAGAAACTGCTTGACTTGTAAAACTCAATGTATCGTGATATAGACTTTTTTGCTCATTAGAGCCAAAGTAGTTTTTGTTAAATAATTTATAGATAATTGACAACCATAGGGTAGAGTTGGTTACTATTTCAATTTGCATTCACTTTCTATCTAACAACACGGTGCTTCCCCGCCCGGCTGCTTCCCTTACCATACTGAATACTCTGGACGGTTTAAGGAGCAACAGATTTGATCCATGTCTATGTTCAGTATGTTCGGGTTCTTCAGATTGGCACTTGGAATCCTCATAACCGGCCTTTGCTGCAGAGTTGTATTAGCAGGTAACCAATCTAAAAATGTTGGTTCGTACGTGACTCATTTCGCTTAAAACGTCCATGCAAAGTTTACACTTTCTACACCCAATGATTTTCGTCGCTGACTTCTGGTTTAGATATTCATTCCAAAAGAACTTTACCCTTTTATTTCTATACTATTTCTATACCTCTCATCGGTAAAACGGTTTTATTCAAAGATTTTATGTAGTTCTCCATTTATTATTTTCATATTTTTCTCTTAATTATGAAGGAATATTGTCATGAATAGCTTAGCCAGGGGTCGTTTCTTCAAAACTATCTTCACTACAGAGCTCACCGCTCAAATGAAAAGCCTGCTCGCAGTCCTGAGCCTCCATAACGTTTGTTATGTTTGTTTACAGAGCTGAAGAAAACCAAAAAAAAAACACTCTGATAGCAGCCTTCTTAGCTAACGCTACAAATCTCTTTGTACATGCACCTTTAAAAGGCGGGTGCATAATCTTACGCTGCAGTTTAACGTATTTCGATACAGTTTTTCAAAGACCATGTCAAGATTTTTCATCGCCTTAGAAGTGATTTTATTCTCACTTGTCCGATCGCTATGAAATTATCACCACTGACTCATTTTGAATTGAAGTTTCTTAAAAATTTAGTTTGATAAATAAAATCGATATCACTATGAGCTACTATGACCAAAACAAACAATTAAAACGTTGAAATCGGAAAAAGGCACATGTTTTGCGCGATCTAGACCAGTCCTGCCTCAGGAACTTAAAGGAACATCAGGAACTTAAAGTGTGCTGTTTAGCAAACAACCTCCGTGAG